CCCCCCCCCCCCCCCACACACACCCACCCAGGGGCCTGCAGAGGCTGTTGGTGCCCCTGCCCTGGAATCATCAGAACCTGGTAACATTTCACACAACAAACATGGCTCATGCTGTATTCCATGCCGCCATGTTCTGACTCCGTCTACATCACTGCCAGCCCCCTGCAGGTGAATGTGTCTCTAGACAATGTCACAGGGAGTTACCCCACAGGGACCAGACACTGAGTTACCCCACAGGGAAAACAGCTGGGTGAACGATCACACATCTCGTTCGTGCAAGAGATCCATGTTTGCACCACCAAATCTAAATACACACACAGTGCTAGATCCTGAGCAGCCATCCCAGGAGAGGGTCCACTCAGTCTTGTCATTGTGTGAAAAAAGTTTTCCACAGAAGCATGAACGTTTTTGGATGGGTGAGAAACCGCTTTAGTCTGCTACGAATGGAACCTTTTCATCCCCACTGTGAATTCAGGGGAGAAGGGAACAACATTTACCTGTTTGAATTTTTGGCATGAAAATATGCACACGTTCAGACTATCCTCTTCCCCATCCAGCTCTTCCAGGAACCTTCTGTCTCTTGTCGACAGGAAAGAGTTTCACCAATTTTACTAAGGCTCTGATTCAAAATCAATTAAACGAAACCAGGGCAAATTCTTGGCTGGAGGCTTCTGTGTTGATTTGGTTTAAGCTTCAGTCAGCTGGGAATGAGTTGAAAATAACTTACTGTTAAACTGCAATAAGTCCCACCCAGTTGTTTGTACCAGTTGAGCTGAAATCAGTTGTAACTTAAACTGGTGCAGCTGTCTCATGCAGGCCCAAAACCCTGGCAAGAGTCTATTAGCTGCAGTAGAAATACATTAATTCACATCAGGTGAGAATCTGGCCCCTGGATCCTACTCTGTTCCAGCCACCTGATGCCAGCATAGCCCTCAGGTCCGTAAAGAAAGCTCTGATTTGCCACAGGGGTGCTTACCTCTGTGTCAAGCAGGTTCTCAGCCCCCTTCTCTCTGTTGGATGCTTCCTCAAGTCAGGGCACATGCATATTTGGCTATGTCCAATGCACACAAGCTATTCTCCTTGGCCAGGGCTGGCACTAGCAGGGACTCATGTTTCTGCTGGAACACCAGGATGCGGAAAGTGTAGCCACAGAGCAAGGCCAGGCCTGAAATCCACTTCACGGGTCAAAGCTTCTTTGGGGTGACGAGAAATGCCCAGCAAACTGGCAGGCTGTTGCTTCATGGATGCACTTTGTATCTGGCTCTTGCTGTGGTGAATCCAATCCGGTAAACCGAAAATGGTCTCCTGTGCTTTGTTTTGCAGCAGAAGATAGAATTAGACATGGAGATTTTGTCCCTGGAAAACCCTCTCAAAGGTAAGTTAGTGGCTAATAGCGTGTTAAATATAAATTGATTGAATTCTAGATGATACAACACAGAATAGAAACCATGGTGCAGCATTCTCTTAAAACTTGGAATTAAAATGGCTTCACCTAACCATTTTTTTTTCCATCTGTCTCTCAAACTTGACACAGCCTTGTGCTCCTCCATTGTTTGTTCATTGAATGGTACCTCTTATTGAAGGCTTAGTGGTTTGGGGAACTGATTGAGAGTTGGGAACCTGGGTTCTCTTCCCGGTTCAGCCATTGACTCATCCAGCACCCTGGTTGAATCTATCAGCATTTCCAAATGCCCTGGGGCAGGAAGCAGGATGCACTAGCTAGGAAGTTATCCTGAGGGAGACAAGCACTGATGTAAGGCCCTTGTGTCCTAGTCCTTTCCCACCTTGTCTGCAATTCTGGGGGAAGGGCTGTGCTGTGTTGGAAAGAGTAAGGGAACAAACAATATGGTGGAGCTGATTAAACCTTAGCTCGAGTAAGTAGTCGAGTTTAAACTTTGCTGACTTCAGTTCAGGTTCCGCGCCCAGCAGTCACACTGGGGTCCACTTGCCTTTTAAGCCAGCCTATTCACGATCCGTTTCTAACCCAGCGATCAGAAACCCTGCCTTCTAGTTTGGTGGGTCAGTGGCACTAACTCTGCCAAAGAACCCCTGCCAGGTCCAGCCATGGTGCTGAGGTCAGTGGGGAGACAGACTTGGTGAACAGTGTCATGCCCCCACCAGCTCACGTTGGCCAAGAGTGGGGAGGTCCTAGTCAAAACCTGTAGGCCAAGACAGAGCTATTGCTGGCTCCCACCATTCAGGTTTGGGTGAAGGGGGGGGAGGTGGAGAGGGAGGTGTGGGGGGGAAAAAAGGACAAACGACACTCAGAGAAATGCATGTGATTGAGACCATCCTCTGCGCTTGCTGCTTCACAGAGCTGAGCAGCCCCATGCAGCCCTGACACACTCCAGTGGGTTCTGCAGCAGTGCAACTTAACCCAGAATAGCTGCAGGCAGCAGCAGCTGGCATGGACTCTGGATGGAGGCTTAGATCCCCGCTCAGGTAAGCTGAGGCCCCAAAGAGCAGACCTGTCCCCATTTCATAATACCACTGGCTTTCCTTGACTTCCCCTACTGTGCTGGTCAAAAGTGTTGGGAGGGGAGCAGCGGGACAACCCCTTTGTATTACAGGGATGTGGGGACCCTGCCCACCTCTCTCATGTGCAAGGCTAAAACAAAGACATTTCCTGGATGGGCCGTTATATTCAACACCCAAATGACATCAAAAGCTAAGAATCGGACACTTACAGCCCACACTATTAGCCTCATTTACACAGACGTTCTAATTGACAGGGGGTTTTTCTCCTCCCCCTGTCCCCTCTTTTTCTGCTGTATATTTGTCCCTCTGTGCCTCATGCTCCATTCATCTGAGGAAGTGGGTTCTTTTTGTTAGTCTCTGAAGTGCTATAGGACCACTCGTTTAAGGGTTTTTTTTAAAGTTATAGACTAACATGGCTACCCCTCTGGGACTTCTCAGCTAGAGCAGTGGTTCTTAATGGGTCTAGCCCTGGCACCAGCCACAGGCTAGAGCTGCAGCTGTGACCTTCCTCCTTTTCCCACCCGGAATGTCCAGTGCTGGGATGAAGTCTAGGAGCCAGCAGAGCCTCCCACGGTGCAGGGAGTAAACAGCCGAAAAGGGCCGCACCAGCCAGAAAGCTGACGTGCTGCAAGGAAGTGTCTGGGAGGAATCCAGATAAGCAGCTGCTCCAGCTCAGAAACTAAGTGGCAGGCTATTGTGTGGCCTTCACGCATCAGGACTGAAGAGCATCTAGAAAGCAGGGGTGCCCCCTTCTGGCCCTCGAGGGCCATTGTGCCCCCTCTTCCCCAGGGCAACTTCCCCTAGAAGAAAATGTGCACTGGCTGCTCCCGGGCCACAGGTCCCTGAGCTGGGCCCTGAGCGTTTGCTGTGCAATCACTGCAGCAGCTGGCAGGTGATGGCAACTCCTGCTGCATCTTCCTGCAGCAGCTCAGGTGGGACCCAGAAGCACACAGAGCTGCTGCTGTCCCTCCCCTCCTGCAGCTGCTCAGCAGCACCTCTGCTGGCTGCCGGCTGCATTGCAGAGGACAGAGGATGCTCCGCCGCCTGCTTCCCTGTGAGGTGGTGGGGAGAGCCTGGCAAAGGATTTACTCCCCTTCCCCACAGTCACCCAGGGCAGCCCAGCGGAAAGGAAAGCCAAGAGCCAGCTCTGCCTCTGAGACTCTGCCCTAGCATGGGTCATAGGCTAGAACCCCATTTGTGACCTCCCCGCCCCCACTGGGCATGCCCCCTGCTGGGAGGAAGTCTAGGAGCTAGCTGTGCTGACTGGCTCCTGCTGGGCACCCCCCCATAAGGGAACCGTGCTACCCACTCTCAGGAGCAGGGATGTAACAGGATTACCCGATTGGCCTGGGCTTATCAATCACTGTTAAGTTACCGGCCGGCTCCTGGCCCCACGTCTGGGGAGATGGCTGCCATCCTGCACTGTGGGCTCTAGCAGGGTCTGCAGCATGGTGCAGCAGCAGGCTCCCTGGGAGTGAGGCTGGAAGGCAGTACTGCAGCCAGCTCCCTAGAAGCGAGGTGGTGGACAGAAGCCAGTGTGTACCGGGAGCTGGCTGCTGCCTCTATCAGAGACAGCAGCACAGGGTGGCAGCCAGCTCCTTAAGAGTATAAAGCTTATTTTGCAGAGCCCACAACATAATCACTGAGACTTTTGAGCAGTTACACAGTTACCTAATTAACATCCCTACGCAGGAGTGTTGCCACTGACTCCTTGGCTATTTGATACTGTGCAGTAAAGTACCAGCTCTTGGAGTCATGTGATTACATGAGATTCCCATCTTTCATTTAAAAATGGGGAGGGGGAGTTGCTGGCC